AAAAAGGGGTGTCAAGGTTATTTGTGTAGTATACTAAGTGAATTGAATGGAAATGTTGAGTTAGCCGACCTCCCAGTGGTTAGAGAATTCCCCGATGTCTTTCCAAATGACTTGCCTGGCCACTTAGTCGATAGAGAAATAGAATTTTCCGTTGACATCATGTCGGGAACGCAACCTATCTCCAAAACACCCTATAGAATGGCCCCAGCTGAAGTTAAGGAACTGAAACTACAATTACAAGAATTGTTGGATAAGGGATTCATTAGGCCGAGCACTTCACCATGGGGAGCACCCGTTCTATTTGTTAAGAAGAAGGATGGCACACTTCGCCTTTGCATTGATTACAGAGAGCTTAACAAGGTGACCATTAAGAATAAGTACCCGTTGCCTAGGATTGATGATTTGCTTGATCAACTACAAGGAGCACGAGTCTTTTCAAAAATTGACCTTAGGTCGGGCTACCATCAGCTTAAGGTTAAAGCCGAGGATGTTGAGAAGACTGCTTTTCGGACAAGGTATGGTCACTATGAATTCCTGGTAATGCCTTTTGGAGTGACTAATGCACCTGCAGCATTCATGGATTTGATGAAGAGAGTCTTTAAGCCGTATCTAGATGAGTTCGTGGTTGTTTTTATTGACGACATATTGATCTATTCCAAGAGTACAAATGAGCACGAGAATCATTTGAGACTTGCCCTACAAATCTTGAGAGACAGAAAGTTGTATGCTAAGTTGAGCAAGTGTGAGTTCTGGCTTTTCAGCATTTCATTTTTGGGGCATGTAATTAATGAGGAGGGTATCTCAGTTGATCCCAGCAAGATTGAAACCGTTGTGAATTGGCCGACGCCGACCAATGTGTCTGAGGTTTGTAGTTTTCTAGGTTTGGCAGGTTATTACAGAAAGTTCGTGAAGGATTTCTCAAGGATTGCAAGTCCATTGACACAACTAACTAAGAAGGGAACGGCGTATGAATGGACCGATGATAGAGAGTTAGCTTTCCAAGGATTAAAGACGAGGTTAGTCACAGCACCAGTTCTTGTCCTACCATCAGGTAATGAGGAATTTCAGATCTATAGTGATGCTTCACATAAGGGTTTGGGTTGTGTATTAATGGAAGGCGGTAAGGTTATAGCGTACGCATCTCGTCAGTTGAAACCTCACGAAAAGAATTATTCTACCCATGATCTAGAACTAGCAGCCGTGGTCTTTGCTTTGAAGATTTGGCGTCATTACTTGTATGGGGCTTCTTGCCAAGTTTTCACAGATCATCAGAGTTTAAAGTATTTATTCACTCAGAAGGAGTTAAATTTGAGACAGAGAGGATGTCTTGAGTTATTGAAAGACTACGACATGCAAATTCAGTATCACCCAGGTAAAGCAAACTCAGTAGCCGATGCATTGAGCAGAAAATCAGTTCGAAGTCTGGCATGCTTAGCCATGATTTCAGTGGAGCCGACCGTTATAGAGGAAGTGAAGGCCAAACAAATGGAAGACGGATTCTTCAAGAAAGTTGCCGATGAGATTCTCATTAAGCCGAGGTCAGGGTACACTATTGAAAATCAGGTACTTAAGTTTGAAGGAAGATTGTGCGTGGCCGACATTCCAGAGTTGAAAAGGAAGATTCTGCAGGAATCTCATGGTTCCAGATTTGCTGTTCATCCAGGGAACAGTAAGATGATGTGAAACAAACTTTTTGGTGGCCGAATACGAAAAGAGAAATAGCCGAATTCGTATCCCAGTGTTTACATTGTCAACAAGTGAAAGCAGAATACCAGAGGCCAGCAGGACTACTTCGACCTTTGCCGATTCCTGAGTGGAAATGAGAACACATCTCCATGGACTTTGTGGTCGGTTTGCCGAGGACACAAAAAGGCATGGATTCAATTTGGGTTATTGTTGACAGATTAACTAAGTCAACACACTTCTTGCCTGTTCAGACTACATTCAATGCTGACCGACTTGCTATACTGTATGTGAATGAGATTGTGAGACTTCATGGAGTACCGATGTCCATTGTGTCAGATCGAGATCCGAAGTTTGTTTCTAGGTTTTGGCAAAGTTTACAAAGAGCTTTGGGAACCGAGTTGAAGTTTAGCACAACTTTTCATCCCCAGACCGATGGACAAACAGAAAGAACAATTCAGACACTCGAAGATATGCTCAGACTATGTGTGTTAGATTTCAAGGGAAGTTGGGAAGTACATCTACCGTTAGTAGAATTCGCTTACAACAACAGTTATCAAGCTAGCATTGGCATGGCGCCGTACAAAGCTTTGTATGGAAGGAAGTGCAGATCGCCGATATGTTGGACTGAAGTGGGAGATAAAGCTTTGATTGGTCCTAAGCTAGTTCAAGTTACAACCGAGAAGATTAAGCTCATTCGACAAAGGATCAAAACTGCTCAGAGTCGACAGAAGAGTTATGCCGACTAGAGAAGAAGGGAGTTGGAATTTGAAGTTGGGGATCATGTATTCCTGAAGGTTTCACCAATGAAAGGAGTTTCCAGATTTGGGAAGAAAGGTAAGTTAGCACCTCGTTACATCGGGCCGTTTGAAATACTTGAGAAAGTTAACCAAGCTGCCTATAGACTTGCTTTACCACCAAAACTAAGTTAAGTCCACAATGTGTTCCACATTTTGATGTTGACGAAGTATATTCGGGATCCACTGCATGTAATTGATTATACCGGGATTATGGTTAATGACGATTTCGGCTACGAGGAGAAGCTGATGACAGACAAGTGAAACAGTTGAGGAACAAATCTATACCAATGGTGAAAATTGAATGGAAAGAGCATTACGGCAAGGATGCTACATGGGAAATGGAAGAAGAAATGAAAATCCGTCATCCAGGGTTATTTGTAGAGCAAGGTAATTTAAGTTTGGGGACCAAACTTCTTTAAGGAGGGTAGGATGTAACAACCCTCACTCTACTCTAGTCATGCTTGCATATGTTACATGATCTTGTCTTGATATGTTGCATTTTTGCAAACCTTGATTTGTTTTGTTTAAGTGTTTCTTACATGTTTTGTACCTTGCTTGATGTGAGTTTAGCCGAGGTCATCTTCAGTCTAGAATTATCTTGGAACCACTTTGGTTGACCTCCACCTTCACCAAGGCATCTTGGCCGGGATGTCATCATCTAGGCCGAGGTGTTCATCACCAAGGCCGAGATATGTACTATCTAGGCAGAGATGTTACCTTTGCACCTAGTGATCTTGTTCCTGGATTGGTATGACCTAGACCGAGATGTGGCACATCTAGGCCGAGGAGTGGCACAGCTTAGTCAAGTGTTGTCCTTCCTAGCCGAGATCATTGTACTTGCTGAAGCTCTGTTCTTAGCCAAGATTGTTACTTGCCAGAGTACCCTTGCCGTCTTGCTTGTTGAACACACTTTGTCATAGTCTTGTCTTTTCACTCAGTCACCTTTTTCAGTAGAGCCAACCAGCCGTTGCCACGTGTCCGAGCTGAGTGTTAAATCAGCCGGCAGAGAGAGAAATGTATCATTTGTTGTATGTCTTTGTTCTTGAGGAGAGAGAAGCTCTAGAAGAGGGAGAAGGAGTTCTTAGAGGAGGAATAGATTTTCCAAGCTTGATCTTCACATCTTCAGCCGTTAGATTCGTGTCTTGAGGTTAGAATCTTAATCTACTCTCGTTGTTCTTATTGATCATCTAGCTGCATTGCATGATTGAACCTGATTTGCAAACCATGCATCGATTTAAAGTTTAGTTTTGGAAAGAGAAAGTGATATTCATGTGTTCTTGAATAGAAGCCTTGTTTGATCCGAAAGCTTGCATCGGGATTCATGTTTTTGTGTTTGTTTTCATAAAATCTTCGAGTATGGGTACCCAGGTCCATGTTTTTGAATTGATAGCATGAAATCTCAGATTTTGTAATAACAAGTTATGCTTTTTGCACTCATGTTCTTCAAGAAAGGGAAACCCAGATTTTCCCGACTTCATTCCCTTGAATGCGGCCCTCGGGACCACACCTCAGCAGGGAGGTGTGGGACCTCGGCCAAGACCTGGTTGGTGCCCATTATGTTTTCCGGAGATGAGGAACAGTGTTTTGTTTTGGTTCGACTTAGTTTTGAAATAATGCCGAGATCATTTGCATTCATGTAAAGCTTGTTTGTTAGTGCATTCAATGAGATTTGTTATGTGGTTGTAGGCCTTGGATCCTTGCTTGTAACCCCGACGTTTGAAAAACTATGCGAGTGGTATTTTTAATAATGGTATGTTATAAAGTTTTGATAAAGCTTTGCTTTGTTTTGAAAAGTATTTGTTAAGCATGAATGATATCTCTATTTTGTGTATCAAGTGTTAGTCTTGTTTTGGATAACAACCTTTGAAAGTCCGTACGTGCTAGGGGACTATAAGCATTTGTAGCACAACCTTTGAAAGTCCATACGTGCTAGGGGACTATAAGCATTTGTAGCACAACCTTTGAAAGTCCGTACGCGCTAGGGGACTATAAGCATTTGTAACACAACCTTTGTTAACGTCACCCTTTGAAACTTGAAAGCTTTGAAAGACTTTGATTGATGAAACTTGAAAGATTTGTTAGATGAACTTGATTCCTCCCTTGTTGGTTACAAGCTATGATTATGTATTGTTTTGTTAAAGATCTCGGATATCATGCATGCCAACCCTTTATTATTTGTACCATTCACTGAGTATCCAAGCTCACCCTCTCTCTATATATGTAGGTGATGAGCAGGACGACAGTGACGCCTAGATGTGCTTTGCAACTTGTTTTGGACTCGCATTTTGTAGCATCTTGAAGATTATGCTTCTTAGCTTGTAATTCATTGTGTTCTGTATATGGTGGCTTGAGAAGCCTTTTGGTCAAGATGTATCTTGTATTTCATTTCATTGTATCCAAGTTGTAAGACCTTGTTAAGATGTATGACATTCCATTCGATCTATGCACAGCTCTTATGGACTAATTAGATTTAAATTTATTGGTTCCGCACATGTTAGCCCCATATGTATACTCTGATCGTGTGTGGATCCTTGTAAGTTGGCCTTTGGTAATCTCGGATTACTGGCCATCATGACACCATTCTACTAGGGGCGGAATGGGGTCGTGGCAAACTCACTGGTACTATTCCAAGTGAGATTGGAAAGCTTCAAAATCTACACAAATTGAATCTCGATGACAATTCATTGTCTGGTAACATTCCATCTTCCCTAGGAAATCTGGGTTTGTTAATTAAACTTGCTTTAGGACTAAATAATTCTCAAGGAAACATTCCTCCGAGCCTAGGGAATTGTAGTAATTTGCAAAATCTGTTTCTTTCTCAAAACAACCTTAACGGTACCATACCAAAACAAGTTGTTTTTATCTCATCCTTGTATATATATCCCAAAACCAATTGAGTGGTTCTCTTCCCATGGAAGTTGCAAAGTTGATAAACCTTGGTTACTTGGATGTCTCTAAGAACCTATTATCAGGTGAAATTTCGAGCACTCTGGGTAGCTGCACAAGCCTGGAAACGCTACGTTTGGGGAACAACTTTTTCAACGGAGCCATTCCTTCTTTGAATTTCTTGAGAGGCCTTAGTGAGTTGGATCTCGTGAATAATAGCTTGTCTGGTGAAATTCCAGTGTACTTGAAGAGCTTTATTTTATTGCAAAATTTGAATTTGTCTTTTAATAATTTTGAAGGTGTAGTACCAACACAAGGTGCATTTAGTAAAGCAAGTAAAATATCAGTAGTGGGAAACAATAAGCTCTGTGGGGGGATAGCTGAATTGAAGCTACCTAAATGCAACTTCAAAGAGGATGAAAATAGGAGATCAAATAGTGCCTTAACTGTAGCACTCTCTATACCCTTTGGGCTTCTAGGACTAGCTCTCGTGGGGTGTGTTCTTTATCTTTGCCAGTTCAGAAATAGAAGAAAATATACTCCTTCAAATTCATCAAAAAATTCACTCTTGAGGGTGTCTTACCAAACTCTTGTTAAAGCCACTGATGGCTTTTCATCTTTCAATTTAATCAGTGTTGGTAGTTTCGGGTCTGTGTACAAAGGAGTTATTGATGGAATAATTGTCGCTGTGAAGGTACTTAATCTTTTGCAACATGGAGCTTTGAAGAGTTTTCTATTCGAATGTGAGGCACTAAGAAACATCAGACATCGGAATCTTGTCAAGTTGATAACGACATGTTCGACGATAGATTATCAGGGTCATGACTTCAAGGCCCTGGTTTATGAGTTCATGGTCAATGGGAGTCTTGAAGAGTGGTTACACCCAAATTGCAATGAAGATTTGTCAAATGAAGAGCTTAAGAAGCTAAACCTTCTTCAAAGACTAAATATTATCACTGATGTTGTTTGTGCCTTGAATTATCTTCACAACCATGCCCAATCCCCAATAGTCCACAGCGATCTTAAGCCAAGCAACATTCTTCTGGACAAAGATATGACAGGGCATGTTGGTGATTTTGGGTTAGCAAAATTCCTTGCAGACCATGCCACCCATGACTTGTTTGTAAACGAAACAAGCTCTGTTGGCATAAGGGAAACAATAGGTTATACTGCTCCAGGTGAATATGCTTTGATTTATTCTTAATTGTTTCGTGCACCAAAAAGTGTAAAGAAAATTGCATGTGTGATTTGGGCAACGCATTATTTTTTTAATACACAGTTCTTTAACCTTTTCTATTTATGAAACATTTCTGTCTTTTATATCCAATATTTTGTTTTGCCCTTTACAAATGCATTTTGCTTGCAGAATACGGTATGGGAAGTGAGGTCTCGACATACGGTGATATATACAGTTTTGGTATCCTTGTGTTAGAAATGTTTACTGGGAAGAGACGCACCGATGAAATATTTAAAGATGGTTTAAGGCTCCATAGCTTTGTCAAAGAGGCTTTGCCTGGTAGTGTATCAGAAATTTCAGACCCAATACTTTTTCAGACCGAAGGAGAAGAAGAAGAAAACTTCATAAGGAGTGAAAAGATTGTGGAGTGCTTGAGTTTGATACTTGAAATTGGAGTCAATTGTTCTTCAGATTTTCCTAGAGAAAGAATGGAGATTAATCTAAATTGCATTTCATCAAAGACACTCTTTTAGGATCTGAAATACATTGAAAGAGATAATTTATGGAGTAATCAATTGGAATGTAATACTTTTGTCTTAATAATCTCTTTTCTAGAAGAGATTACATGTTTAATAACATCCTTACTTTCACATTGGTTGAGCCAACTGTACATTTGGGAAGTAGAAAGTAATGACCTATTCAGAAAGGGAGAGGTTACAATGTGCACTTGCACATTGTAGAAAAAGTAATACTTTTGTGAGAAAAGTTCTATATTTTGTGAGATGAAAGTTATAATTTTTGTGATTAAAAATTATGAATTTTAAAGTTACGATTATGTATAACTAAAGTGTACTTTATGTGAGAGAAGTTCAACATTTTGTGAGAATAAAAAAAGTTATATTTTTTGTGAAGAAAAAAAATTATATTTTTTGTGACAAAAGTTATTCATTTTGTGAGAGAAGTTATGCTTTTTGTATAAGATGTTTATCATATGCACCCAACAAGTGGTGCACATTGCAGACTTTCCCATTCAAAAAAAAGTGTTAGAATTTGAAATGTGTAAATATGATTTATTTTGAGTGTGATTCAATTACACCAAATTTAAAACTACACAACGAATTCAAAATTTATATATGCTTTAATTATTTCTTTTTAGTACATAACGTGGGTGTTTGGGAAGTTGTTATTTTAGTTTTTGGCTATTTTAGTATGCTGAAATTTTTGTGTTTGGAAAGATGATTGGGTTTTTTTGTAGTTGGATGTGATATTTGTGAGAGAAAAAGTGAAATGATTATGGGTTTGATATGACATTTTGTCTAAGAAGTGCTGGAAATTTTTATTTATTAGATAAAGCCAACCTTCAGTTTCTCTCTCTTGAATGAGTGACCCAATGAATCGCAACACAAACTCAGTTACGAAATCCCAAGAGGAAGAAGATCATTTGATCAGAAGCACTAAAAAGATCAAAAGCCAAGAAGATACAGGTGAAGCAGGCATGGATATTGCTGAAATCCCTAGCTTGTCCTCTCACCAATTAATCGAGCATGAATCGCAAGCCACTGTAAACCATCCTCTGATAACGGAGGGCCAGAAGTTAAAATCATTCAAGGAAGCTCTAGCAGCTCCCAAAAATAATGATTTCTACTTTGATGAGACCATGGATCAAATTTTGATAGATGAGGAAGATGACGAGGGAGACACCACATCCATGAAGGAAATCTTCCCCAGACTCACCAGGGTATCCCACAGGTACAACTTCCTAAGAAATTTCTAGAGCAGATTCGAAAACCTTGGACTAATATTCTAACAGTCCGACTTTTGGGTAAAAGCATCGGATACAAACTGCTTTGCATAAGAGTTAAAATATTATGGGGCCTACAAGATGAATTCAATGCCATAGATCTAGGCAACAATTATTTCTTATTCAAATTCTCATCCATGGATGACTGTGCTAAAGTTTATTCAGGAGACCGTGGGTCATTATGGACCACTACCTAACAGTGCGCAAATGGGAGCCTGACTTTATGGCGTCGGAAGCCTTTGAAACCTCTATCGCTGTGTGGGTTAGGTTTCCGGAGCTTCCGATAGAATATTTTCAAGAGAAGGTGCTCTATGCAATAGCCAGACAGATTGGTAAACCCCTAAAAATTTATATGACCACAGCCATGGCTACCAAAGGTCGCTTTGCTCGGGTGTGCATTGAAGTGGATCTGAGCAAACCATTATGTCCCATATTCATATTAGGTAAGAAAAGTTACAATATAGAATATGAATCCATCTATTCATTCTGCTTTTACTGTGGCAGGGTCGATCATCACAAAGAACTGTGCAAATATCAAGCGGCAAATCAAAAACCACAAGAGGTCCACCGGAGCAGGCCGCCTGTGGAGGAACGACAACTAGCCGTTACAGGGAATACAGATCAAATGACAACAACTACAACGACTACTTCTGGTACCAACGGTAACCTGCAACATACAAACAGAGAAGACGATACATATGGACCTTGGATGATGGTCACTAAGAGATCTCGGAAGGTCATTGTAGACGAACCCGAACGTCCCGGCTTCGCACGCGAAGGCGCGAAATCATTTTGTTCATTAGCTACTACAGTTCGGACTCAATGTCACGGTTCTGAATCTAATCTTGCAAAGTGCAAGGCAAGATTGATAAATCACCAAAGAGTCCATATCTGGCAAATCGTTTTGAAAAATTGATTTTAATAAAGAAGTGCCAAACATGGACTGCTTTGCTAGATACAGAGTCGCCACCTAAATATTTTATTTTGGAAAATTTAGGAAACCCTGACCCGTGCCTAAGGCCACGTGTCCGTCATCACTAAAGTTGCCTCGGCTCGGGAACTTGGGTACGAGAGGGGAAGGTTATGCAATGAGCACCCCCGCTCGCTCGATCAAAGGATCGGCCTTTACTAACATGATATGTTGTTTTTGAAAACACATGTGTTCTTATTCCTGTTTATTAGCTAACCTTACTACGTGATGTGCACAACATACAAGTATAGACTAGATCGCCTAAATTAGAACAAAACATCTCATGTTTGTTTGTTTGAAAATGGTTTGAAGGTGCTACTCGCAAGTAGGCTAAGTCATGGATTTTGCCACCCTCAAGTGGGCTTAGAAAACATGATTTTGCCACTTCAAGTGGGCTTAAAACTCGCAATCAATGAATTGTTCCAATTCAAGCAATCCAGCCTTCACCCACATGCATTCAGGCAGTTATATCAATTAAGCAGTTAGCCTCATGGCAAGCATGCTATCATGACAGTTACTTACATACATGCAAGATGCTAAAGCATAAAAGCTTACCTAGTACTCCGAGCCAAAACAATAGCTTGTTAGTAATCAATGTATGATCCTAGCTATGTTAATAATGCCTAATACAACACATGCAAAAATGCAACTAAGATAGGCTCGACTATTCTAAGATGGCATATGGATGCAACTTGATAACATGTATTCAAATAGGAATTAAATACAATGCAGTTTGTATGATGCACCGAGCCCGGTGCATGCAAGACAGATGAATGAATGCAAACATGCTAACATAAGGATGCTAATTGAAATATGCCCTAGAACTAACCATCGTAAGCGATTAAGTAAAAGGGAGAAAGACGTGGGGTTGGAAGACATTCACACACTCACGCACACTTATTACAAAAGTTGGCCCTCTCAACAGAGGGTCCGAATAAATCAACTAACTAGCTACGCTAAGCTAAGAAACTAATCTAATTATCTAATTAGACTAATTAATACATAATCAAATTGAATAACTAGCTAACACTAAGCTAATTATTACGACACGTTAACTAATTAACAAATTAACTAGTTTAATTACAAATTTAAAAGCTAACTAATCAAGGAAAGCTAATTGCAAATTACAAAGCCTCAGCTTAGTTCTAAGAGTTCGAAGATGCATGCTCGATCGCCTCGCTCGGAAATCCGTTACCATGCCTCATGTTGCCTCTGTTTGCACTGTTTTAGACTTCTGAAAGTTGTGCCAATCTCCAAAACACTTCTGATCCACCTCATGGACATGTTGAGAGGTCATCGGCCAAGAGGTATGGCCATCGGCCAAAAGGATGACGGTCATCAACCAATTTTGAGGCTATCGGCCAATTATTGCTAGCCGATCGGCACACTAGATAGCCGATCGGCCATGTCTTCCTGCAAACTCTCATTTTTGCTGCAATAAAGCACAAACAAAGGCATGGCAATGTATTTGCAAGAAAATATGTGTGCAACTACACCCCTTATCATGTTTAAGGCTCAAAGGTGTGTAGTGCTCGGCTCTCGAGCCATCAATCACGTATTTCAATGCATGATGGCCAAAGAGGCCGAGTTGCACAAATCAATGCCAAATGAATGCACAAAAACACATAAATGCCTTCACCTTTATCATGCATGATCAAGAGGGTCGGGGACCGAGAATTGAGGCACGTTTCATCACTTCAAGTATGAAACGTCCCTCCTTCCTCGTGTTTGGACTAATGCCCTATCCAAACACAATGCAATGCAAGGTATGCCAAGCACAATGTAAATGACAAGCATGCAAACAACATTCCATGCAACAACATGCAACAATGTCATGCAATGCAACTAGCATGCAACAACATGCAATGCACCAAGTAATGCAACAACACTTTATCTAATCAACATGCAAAACATCATGAACATGCAACAACATGCAAGTAAGAATGTCATAAGCATGCAAATGTCATGCAACTCAAGCATGCAAGCATGATACAATATAACAACATTGAAACAACATGCTCAATGGACTTAAACCAAAAGTGGACAGATCTCAATCATGCCCAAATCAGTGGCCATAACACTCTTAAAAGATGGCATAAAAGGCTAGAAAATGCATGCTCATGCAATGGCCCATCAACTAGGCACAAGAGCACAACTCTCAGAAGTGCTCAAGGAGTGACAAATGTGGAAGTGTGACAACACTATAAGCTCTAAAATAAAGTAAGAAATGATGCCAAATCATTCAAACAACATAAGCATGGCATGTTAGAAGGCTCAAATCATGAAACTAACATAGGCACTTGCACTATAGCTATGCAAAACATGAACCATATGGCCAAGACACCTCAAAACAGTCCTAGAGCATGTCAAATCAAGGCTAAAACATGCATGGACTAGA